CGGAGCCAGAGGAGATTGTGGTCCTCTCGTATGCTTGGCGTTGGAGCGTTTGACGACGGGAAGCATCAAGTATCTACCTCCCACCGATAGAGATAAAGCTGCAGTAGGCTTGTGGTTTCGGCATTATATGGCTAAATCGATATATACGAGACGCTGCCTACCTGCATCCGCGTTATAAAAATGTCCATAAACAATTGGTAAGTTTATATACTTATAAATGAAAATGTTTGGTTAATTAACTAGAATTCAATAATTTGCGTAGAAAGTGTTGTTTGAACAAATGTTTGGTTTCTGCAGGTTAATCTCAGAAGTGAACTGCGTGAAAATGATGTCGAGCTGCAAAAGTTGATTCAATAGTTTAATTGATTGTTTTTTGATTGTTTAATTGATTTGTAAAAGTTGATTCAATAGTAGATGATCGGAAATAAATTATTGCTTATTTTTTGATTGTTTAATTGATTGTAAAAGATGATTTGTAAAAGTTGATTTGTAATTGATGCGAACATAATCTTATTTGTGCTTGTTTAATTGATTGAAATGTAATGGTTGATTTTGTTGATTTCAATCTGCATTATGTTGAAGGCAAAATGACTATCGCAATGCGAAATGAAAATCGCAATGCGAAATGAAATCGCAACGAGAGAATCGCAATGCGAAATGAAAATCGCAATGCGGAAATGAAAATCGCAATGCGTTTATAATTTCGCATTGCGATTATCTCGTTGCGATTTTCATTTCGCATTGCGATTTTCATTCGCATTGCGATTCTTTCGTTGCGATTTTCATTTCGCATTGCGATTTTCATTTCGCATTGCGATTTTCATTTCGCATTGCGATTTTCATTTCGCATTGCGATTTTCATTTCGCATTGCGATTTTAATTTCGCATTGCGATTCTGTCGTTGCGATTTTCATTTCGCATTGCGATTTTCATTTCGCATTGCGATTCTCTCGTTGCGATTTTCATTTCCGCATTGCGATTTTCATGTTGGGATTTTCATTTCGCGTTGCGATTGTATTTTCCGTGTTGCGATAGTCAAATGCATGCCTAATAGTGATAACAACTGAATAACAAGAGTTGGTTAAGTCAAAATGGTTGGCCTGAGTCATTAATTCAACTGAAAATGTTAAAAGTTCACACTAAAATCCACATAATACAACGTTTGCATTTAAAAATCACCTAAGTTAACAGTCTCAAAAGGTGAAGCCAATCGTGATTGGGATTTTAAAGATGATTGCCTTTGCTTGACACCATATGAGCTTTGGATTTTGATGAGGATCCATATTTTGGTAGAGGAAAAGATGATTTTGATGGCACTGGTGATCCACATGTCAACCTTGTATGACCACTTTCCTTGCACCGACTACATGTCGATCTCTTCTTCTCTTCACCCTTAGACGGTATACGATCGTGACTTTTTGGTCGGCCAGGTAGCCTTCTGTCCATGGCTGGTGGCAAAACTGTTTGTAAGTCATCTGGTATGTCCCACTCAGAAGGATGTGGAATAGGGTAGACAATCTCGGCATAAGTCTGTCGATAAACTTCTGTAGTGTAGCAATCCATAGCGTATGCGCTTGAATCATCTTGGTTTAAATGAAGAGCAACTTTTATAACATGGCCACACGGATAACCAGATGTTTGCCATTTCATACAACTACACGTCTTTGCATTTAGATCGACTAGCCCATTTAAGTTATTATCCAGTACTTGAAACAAAGTGTTTGAACATGGTTCAACTCTCCATGACGTTGACTTCACAACACGTTTCGTTATCTTTTTTTCAGTCCATGGTGTAACACGATGTTCCAATGTTCCTGTAAATTTAAATAAACAATACTTAGTAAAATATATAAATATGATAAGTTACGAATTCAAAGAAATAATACCTGCATGGTTTCTTTTCTTGTAGTACCACTGTTGAATAGAGGCTCGAAAAAACTCCATTAACATAGTAATGGGTAATTTCCGGGAATGACGACTTAGAGCGTTGATTGATTCTGCACTATTAGACGTCATGAAACCATATCTTGCTCCAAGTTGATGTACTCTTGACCATCTTTCAAACCCGACATCTTCTAGTGTTTGAGCACACTGAGGCAAAACACGTCTAAACAATTATATGCTTATTGAAATCCACTTCCCGATAAGCTTTTACAGCCTTCCAGTATGTCCATTTGTGCTTTTTTATACCAGCAGACCTTGATTTTAGATTTCTATACAAATGAACACCACAAAGTCCATGAAAAGCATCTGGGAAACACCTTCTAACAGCGTTGTCAATTGAGTTTGCCCTATCGGATATGATTGTCAGATTGCTAATAGGACCTATGCAATCCCTAAGATGCCCCATAAACCATGTCCATGAATCAGAGGTTTCAGATTTGCCAACCCCGTAAGCTATTGGCAATATCCCATTGTTAGCATCCATGGCTACTGCTAATAAGTTTACTCCAAGGTATCGACCTTTCAAATGTGCTCCGTCAACTATAATAACTGGGCGCATGCAAGTAATAAACGAACGAATCTACAAAATAATATACACAAGAATATAATCATTTAAATGTGAAATGCATGTAACTAACAAAAATGAGTCAACAAAATTATATTGATTTACTAACCGTAGCACCAATGGAGATAAACAGCAACTCAAAGCGTCCATCTCTATCTGTTTTGATATGAGTTACCGACCCAGGATTTTTCAGCTTTAAATTGTGACAATAAGCCGGCAGTTGGGCAAACGATGCTTCTGGCGACCCCTCAACAATTCCAAGGCATAACATTTGGCTCTCCAAGCTTGAGAATATGATATACTAATCTTGAACCGAGCATTCATGTCAGTCATAATTTCATGTCCCCGATATACCCTGCCATTCAAAAACATTAACTCAGCCAGAAAACCACCCAACACCTTTTTGTTTGCCTGTCTATGGTGAGGAAAACTTGGGTTCTTGAACATGTATGTTTATCAATAAAAGTCCTAACTTGAAACATTTGCAATCTTTTATTCTCTTTGCAATCATACGCCACGTACAGTTTTTGTCAATCATACACCTTGTTTCGAAACGATCTTTGCTTGATTTGTTAACTTTTAGTTGATAGCCATCTTCCACACATTTCGTATATAAAGCTATCTTCAAGTCTTCCTTTGTATCAAAACAATCATCTTTCTTGATACGAATAACTTTTGTGTAACAATCAACTGCTTTCTTTATCAACTCTTCTTCCGGTATCTGAAGTAATTCTGGCATATTCCAGTTATACGCCCGTGGCATTTTCTTTTCTTCGGGGACTTTTTCTTCTTCTTTTTCTTCTTCAGGATTATATGAATTACAGAATGGATGTTCAACATGTTCATTCACAGTCGTAACTTCCTCCTCATTATCATCAACATTACATTCTTCGGCAACGGCTGTTTCATCATCAAAATTCGGGTATTGACCAATATCAATATTACACGCATGGTCTGTTTCTTCTTCTGAAACATCATCAAAATCCGTGTATTGACCAATATCAAAGTCGGATATTGACCAAGACCAAATTTCGAATACTGACTAGTACTCACAATTTTTTTGGCTCATCATCGTCTAACTGGTCAATACGAAAACCGGAATTTGGTGCTGAAAGTTGATTGGGATTTGGATTAGAGAAAGGTTGTGGGTTTTGAGAAAAACTTAGTTGATTACTACCCGCTACTGACCCAACAATACTACTTCTAGGTTCAACAACATACAATGTAACATCATCTTGTGAAACACTAATGTAAGCAATGAATCGTTCAACATCTTCATTGTCGGTTAACAAATAAACTTTACCATTTCTCTGATAAGATAGCCTAAATCCACTTAGGGGCTCTAAATTCAATTTATTTGAAACACGTAGCATTAGAGTTTCATAAGTTAACTTTTGTAAAGACAATTTAGTTGAAGATTCATGGGTAAAGGCATATATTGTAAAACACCATGAACATTATCCCATGACCCTCCAAAACACAAATCTATCCAAACATGATCAACATTAGATGATTTCATGGTTGTAAATTAATTTACTAAACAGACGAGCTGCGAAACTAAAACCTGTTGCCGGATTGGGAAGGATGTCGTTGGATATAGGAACGGATGTCGCCGGAGAGAGTGATAGATGGAGATGGAATGAGTTGCGATTTAGGGATTTAGTTTATGATTTCAGTGTTATATACCCAAAATTTAAGTGTTGTGATTTACAGATTCTCGTTGCGATTTACGGATTATCGTTGCGATTTACAGATTCTCGTTGCGATTTACGGATACGCGTTACGATTTACGGATTATCGTTGCGATTTACGGATACGCGTTGCGATTTACGGATACGCATTGCGATTTACGGATACGCGTTGCGATTTACGGATACACGTTGCAGTTTACGGATACGCGTTGCGATTTACGGATACGCGTTGCGATATACGGATACGCATTGCGATTTACCCATACGCGTTGCGATTTACGGATACACGTTGCGATTTACGGATACGCGTTGCGATTTATGTGTTCGCGTTGCGATTTTCATATTCGCGTTGCGATTATGGAAAATCGCAATGCGAATTTGTACTATCGCATCGCGATTTTCAAGAATCGCGTTGCGATTTTGGAAACTGATTTGCGATTCTGGGGATCGCGTTGCGATTTTTATTTCGCGTTGCGATTTTGTTGGTCATTTTGGCAAATCCAAAAAAAGTTGGTTAAAATCGTATATTATAACTTTTTTTTGGTCACTGAGGCGATTCTCTCTATAAAATAATAAAAAAAGTGTTAGTTATCAAATATTAAAAAAATATTTGTGGATATTAATACATTAAAAAAAATGTATTCGTTTAAATTTAGTTGGTTTACAGCCGTTGAAGAGAGCAAATGAAGTATTTGACAGGATCCCGTTCGTCGTTTATTTGTGGGGGACATTGGAATGATGAATGGAGCGGTGGAACATGAGGGTACTAGTACAATCTGGTTTTGCCAAAATCCCAAACCAATCTAATTCATAGGTTTCGCCTTACGCATAGGAATACTCATCCCCTTTCTGCACTTTACTCTTTTCTTCCACAACCAACAGAAATAGATTCGAAAGAAAATGAAGCTATCATTCAAGCTTGAAGATGACAAGACCCCTGTGTTGAAAGCCAGGGTGCCCATCTCCATATTTAGCCAACCTTTCGTTTCTATCCTCACCACCACAACCACCGACAACGGCAGCCACAAATCCTCTCAAAACACATCCTTTTCTCTCTGCACAAATTTCCCTTCCGGCCCTTGTCTCAAACTCTCTTACGCTCCCTCAACTTCCCCTTCCTCCACTTTCCCTTTCTCTCTCTCTCTGAAGTCTGGTCTTGGTCTCTTTGGATCACCCAAAGACTCCCCTCTTGTTTTCTCTGCTCAGTTTTCTCTTTCATCTGTTAGCCCCGGAACCCCAATTCCCGCTTTCTCTCTCCATTTCAAGCCCCAATTTGGCAACTTTTCTTTTCACATGGCCACATCGTCGAAACCTAGCCTCGAATCAGATTCCGGGTCTCATCACTCTATTTCAATACAATCTGCTTCACCTTCGGATTCGGGTTTTGGAACCCTAAACTCGGCTTCAGTCTGGCAAGATGTGAAATTGGAACCTCGTAATGGAGCTGATGATGGGCTTGATACCCCTAAGTTCGGCTATGGGAACGAAGGGTTTGGTATGGAGAGGTCATTGGTGAGGACAGATGACAAGAAAGCTGGGATTTTTTGTGGAACTGCTATTAGAGCAAGAACAATGTTTCCTGTGACAAAAAGGGCTGTGGTGAACCTAAGGTGGACCGTGAACTTGCCTTCGAGTTTGGGTTCAAAATTGCCTAATCTGACAATAAACAAGATTGGGATCGAGAAGCCTGATGAGGTTAATGGAGAGAGAAAAAAGAGCGTTGCGAGTAATGAAGATGAGTTCGAATTGCTTAAAGGTGTGTATTCATGGATGAGAAGAGATTTGGAGAAGTTGGAGAATGAGAATAGGGAAATGAAGCAGTGTATAGAAGATGTGAGACATGAGATTTCAGCTAGTAGGGAAAGTGAGGGTCTTGGGCGGAGGGCCTCCACGCCTTGGGCGAAGAATTCGAACGACTTGGAGCAGTGGAGGAGCAAGAGAAGTTCTGGTGAAGACAATAGTGGAAGAGAAGCGAAGAAGAATGTGAACAAGATGAGCGAGGTGGAGATTGAATTGCAGAAAGCTATCAAAGCTGCGCCCACGTAATGAGGTCGATGTCTCTCTTTCATTTGGTTTGGCTGATTATCCTTTGAATGTTGTATATAGTTAATGGTAGTTGAGCCTTTTGCTGAATTGAGCTTATTCATGCTTTGCTGATGATGCTGTAATGCTTTTTTCATGAATTCTTCCATTATGGTAATAATAAATCTCATCTTTTGAGTGTTTATGGAGATTTTTAGATATCATCCCTGCCTATAATTTCACATGTACTTTATCACGAAGCTGTAAGTAGGGGAAATGATTCTTGTTAATCTGAATACTGCATTGAAGAAAAGAAAAGGGTGTTTGGGTTTTTTTTTTTTTTTTGCTTTATATAAAAATAATTTATAAACTATACTTCAGGTATTTAATTTTTTTTTCTGTTAGGTTCCTAATATTTAATAGGTTAAGTTTTATATCGTAACGACGGTTAAAATAAATCAATTAATATATTTTAGGATAAACTACACCCATTGACCATTTAACTAAGGACTGATTTTATTTTAATACTGGTCTTTCAATTTTGTCAATTAAACTATATAACTTTTTAAATGTGTTAAAAAACCATAGAGTAGTTGACGTGGAAATTAAAAATTAGTATAATTTCACATTTGGCCTTCATTACTAACACGTTTAATCAATTTGGTTCTAATTTTAATTTGTCACTATCTAATTGGAGAATTAAATTTATTGAATAAGTTAAAATTTAGATCAAATTGATTGAATGTGCAAGTAACAAAGACTAAAAATGTAATTATATTGAAATTTTCAATTGCAACTTTAACACTTCCATCAAATGTTAACAAGTAAGTTGATTTATAATATTTAAATAGTTTGATTGATAAAATTAAAAGATCAATAATTAAAATAAAATATACCTATGTTAAGTGGTCAAGACTCAAGAGTGTAATTTATCTATAATTTTAATATAATATACAAAAATGTGGTGTTGTAATGATGTGGGTGATTTAGTCCTTCTGAGTCGTAGTTAGTGATTTTAATGAAGAATGATGAATTGTAGACGAAGGGTTCCATAAGACTGAGAAAGAGAGAACTTGCTTCTTTTTTAAGGGAATTTATATATCAACCTTTAGTATTGATGTTAGATTTACGGTTATAATGATTATTTATAAGTTAGAGAAGAAAATGAACTATTCTAGGAACTGAAATTTTATTTTTTTAAATAGAATATTGAGCACTTGTTATTAGCATTTTTTTTAGAGAAATATATAACTAAAATATATAAAATAGTTTGAATGACATAATAAAAAATAATAAATTAATAATATAATATTAAAATATTATAAATATAGTAAAAATATAACATAATAATATATAAATAAATAATACGAATTTGATTATAGTATATATTTAAATTTCTGTGTCCTTTTAAAAGAACATTAATAATAGATTTATTATTATGGTTTAATTTTTAAAGAATGTCAAAAGATTCTAAACTAGATTTATTTAATTTGGGACATCTTCCCATGAAACAGACGCTAAATTCACATTTTTTAGGCCATAAAGAAGTGAAATAAAATTTTTTGCGTTTAACAACCGCCGATAGCAATGATCATGGGTGACTGACGGTGACCAACAAAACATGGTGATAATAATTGATGGTAGACTTTAATTGAATTTATAAGTCAATTTGATATTTTATGTAACATTTATTCAAATAATATTTTATCTAAAATTTAAAGATCAAATTAATATTTTATCTAAAGTCCAGGGATCAAACTAAAACTAACAGTAATTAACATCAGAGTGTAATGATCGATATCGTAAGTGACTAAAATGTAACTTTTCAAAATTAATGATAAAAAGTAAGGAATACTGAAACAAAAGAGACTACTATGATAGTTAACCCAAAATTGATGTAACTTTTAAATGTAACTTAGAGACATACTTTTAAAAGTGACCAATACAGGCAAAAAATATATAAATTTAAATTAAAAAGATTTTAAACAGTCTATATAGGAGGTAGTTGGTCGAACTCTAAAAGAAAAATTAGCTAAAAGAATGTTAAAAAGAAAACTAGCAGAAAACTAGAGTATGTAGAGTGAGAGAAAGAAGGAATGAAATAAGAGAGCCATGTGTTGATTCTTCATCCCCCCTTGGACTAAAGTTTATTCCTTTTCAGCACTGGAGCCAACAAGGCAAAGGACTAGATTATCTGCATAAATTTGAAGAAAACACATTCGGGATTTGTCACTGAAAATTGCTACTGACGGAACAATCATCACGAACACGCCAGATGGTTTCACCCAACAGGTTCGCAACAGAGAGAACAGTCGGCTGAGGGAAGTAATTCTTTTCTGCTACTAGTAGTATGTTCGTTATGATTACTTCTTGAAATCCACCTGATAACTTCTCTATTGCTGGAGGGCTGCCAACAAAAACATACACAACACAACAGCAGCAAATAATTTCATTCACATGCTTGAATACCATAAATCAGCTTTTACCTACAACTTCATCCAAAACTTCTTAAAGTTTTTAAAACCTGAAAACTGCATGGGTACAGCATATGCATAAACCTCCCTTGCCCCCTCTTGGTGTAAAAGTGCCGCCGCCCCCTTCGCAATCGTTCCTATAAAACACCAAAATGTTCACTATAAAAATAAAAATTTTATTTTTATTTTTTTATGTTCACTATAAGAAGCTACTTAATTTTGAACAGGTTTATGTCTGCCATCGTCACATTGCTTTCATTTACCAGCAGTGTCGATCATGTCATCCACCATAACTGCAACTTTTCCTTTGACGTCACCAGTAAGGTTCATTACCTGAACAAAAGAAGTTGGACATTAATTATGTATTAACCATTGAACTAAAGTGAGAAAAATAATACAAACTGGACTCGATGCCCGTGCAAATCAGTTGAGTCTAGTTCCTATTGTCATCAATTAATCTGTGCAATTACTGAAACACTTATAGTAGACCAAAATACTCAATATGGGAAAAAGGTGCAACAGTTTTCGAATTATTGTGCCTATTACAGCTAGCAAATGTACTACTACATCCCTAAACATCATATTATCACAACGGTATATAGAAAACTTTAGAATGACAGAAAATATAATAGTAAAATCAACAACGAAGACAGATAATGACAGTGTAGTCGTAGAGAAAGCATTACCTCTGCAACATTGTGTGCATGGCGCCTTTTATCCACAATGGCTAAGGGTGCATCTGATAGTTTTTTTTTTTGCAAAAGCACGCTCTCTTGCAACTCTACCAACATCAGGTGAGACCACTACCAAGTCATCAGAACAATTCTCTGCTGGCAAGATAATCAAGAACCACAGGCTATACAGTCCATAGCACAAAAGTATAGATGAATCAGCAATCATTTAGTCGTTGACAGTCAACATATAAGTTTGAAGCTTGATGATCGAATACCTGGCAGTGCACATGATCCACTGAGATATCAAAACAACCCATGGACTGCCCAGAATGAAGGTCACAAACAAGAACACGGTTTGCACCAGCTTCTGTGATAAGATTTGCAACTAGTTTGGCTGCAATGGATTCACGCCCTTGGGTCTGAAAGTAAAATTACAAACAGAGAGAAGATAGTTCGCTACACTTTAAGAAAACATGATTCAAAAGCTTCAGAAATTCATGCCAGAAGCAAGGCATTGACACAATCAGAATAATTCTAACATACGATAGCACAAATTTTTTCACTGATTATGAATGACACAGGCTGTTTCAAGACATCGGCTTCTAATCCATTCAATTTGCAGCTTACATCTTCACACATTCATATTTTTATGATTTTATCCTCAAAAGTTATTGCCAAATACATTGAACTTGCCTTTCTATCAGCTCTGGCATAGCCAAAATATGGAATCACTGCAGTGATAGTTTTGGCTGACGCTCTCCGACAAGCATCTATCATAATGAGAAGTTCCATACGATTCTCATTTGCAGGAGGGCATGTTGGTTGCACAATATAGACATCAAATCCTCTAACACTCTCTTGCAGGTGAACATATATTTCCCCATCAGCAAACCTATTTATGTTTGATCTGTCCCAGTTCCAGGCCATGTACCAAGCGATTCCTGCAACAGAACAGATTAGATAAGACAAGCTGTTGGGTGATCCGTCTTTGTAGAACAAACAGTGGAACGACATGCAAGCAGACATAATATAAGCATCATATTGTCTGGTCCAAACTACAAGGGCTCAGAAGAGAGAGTGGAAACTTTATCAAATGACATTTTGCAATTGAATTTTATCAAATAGTAAAAAAGTGTATAATTCTTCAGAACTGAGGCAGTTCTAGAAATTCCTTTCACTTACAGTTTATCACCCAACAGCTGCACACGCAAAAGCCATTAATTTCTACATCCTGTTAATCTTATATTTTTGTATGCATATTGAAAGTAAAACCTATAAAAAAAAAGGGAGATACAGTAAACAAAATGACAACGCAATAAATTTACCTGACAAAGTGCAGGATTGGCTGTGCCCGAAAACAATTTGAGCTTAGCACCATCCTGTTAACAGTTGTATCCATTCTATTTGAGTCGACGAACTTGGGCATATCCTTTCATTAAGGATTGGAATCGTTGGTTTCCCATTTCCACGATTCACTGGTTGATGCAGTTCACATCCTTGTATTAAAAAAAGAGACCCATATCAGCAAAGCTCTAAAAATCACTCAAAACATACTAAAACCTTTTTATTCAAAACCTTCATCGAAAGAATACTCCTCTGTAAATTAGCAGTAGAAGAAACAAAAGGAAGACGAAACAAAGTTGAACTGTGGATTCATATGTGTGCAGCATATATCACATAAAAGTAATGCTATCAAATATTAAATCTTAAATTTCAACGAAAATCATCAAAGAAATGAAACCATAGAAAAAGAAGATCGAAAATAATAATAATACCAGAAAGCCTTTCACTTCAGAACCTTTAATGCAATAGTGAATAAAGCATACCAAGCTGTTCGAAGCGCATACACGAGGGCTAGACAAATTGAAAGCGAAATTTTTAGGGCTAAGAGAACCACGAGTGAAGAGAGATGAAGAAGAAGAAGACAAAGACGAGGAGGATTTGGACGGCGAACGAATCGTCAAGGAAGCCATTTCTTCTTTATCGTTAATGT